TGTGAATGTTAGTTTCTCTTTGAGCACTTAGGCTCAGTGTATGAATGTGTGTGAATGGTGAATGCAGGTGAGCGCTTTGAGTGGTTGAAAAGACTAGAAAGGCGCTATACAGAGCATTTATTTACTACCAGCAGGTAGTAAGGATTTTTGTTTTGTGCTTTGATTCATATAAACTCAAGATCACAACAGAAAACAGGACCCGGGACCCTGTTGCTCCACCCTCCCTGTGCACCAGTCTGTGCCTCTTAATTGCAGAGGACTAACTATTTCCTGTAACATCTCGTCTGCAATTAGTCTCACATTTGCCTTTATTACATGCTGAAGCCCAAAACAAAGTCTCAAATCTGCCACTCTGGAGCATTTTCATATCCAGGTAGACTCTGAAAGCAGGGCACGCTGTAGGAAATGGCTGCCGTCACCATTGTTTAAAAAAAAGAAAAAAAAGAAAAGAAAAGAAAGGTAAAGGCAAGAGCACTTTTAGTGAAATTCCTGTGTAAACCTTGCCCATATTACATTAAACTAGTGTCCTCAGTGTCAATAAAAAGCAACATATAGAAGAACATTTCTTTGTCAAGGGTCAAGTGAGAACACAGCTCTGTGTATTCCCTCCAACCCATTGTTTTAATTTTGCTCTTATTGAGGTATTCTTGCACATTCACCCATCACTTTTACAGTATCACCCTAAAGTCATTGCTACATGTTGTACGTCTATGTTTAGCACAGCTTTAGAAGCACAGCTCTCAATTATAATGGTGTGAACAATACTTTCCTTGGGATGTCACAGAGGTGAAGGCTTGTGTCTGCACTGTCCATATCCAAATTGTAATAAGTAGTAGTGAAAGAGTAACTGCACAAGTCATAGGAACACGACTCTCCTTGGAATGCAGTGATCCAACTTTTCTGTCTCAATACAATTCTGTTATCCCAATTAGGTTTGGTCAGTAAACCAGGGTATTTAGAAATCCAGACGGTGTGACTTTCAAAACTGTCAGAAATCCAGACGCACCTCTTTCTATTAAACTGGTACAGAGACGCTGTATTGAGGTGATGTACTGTAGCGTACGCCCTCAATGTAGACATGCAACCCCGTATGAAACTGCCTGACAATCACCCCCTTCACCTTTCTAGCAGTTGGTACAGAGCTGCACCTAACAATTGTCTTTTAATCAATTAATCTAATGAGTTATTTATTGATTAATAAAAAAAAATCTAGAAATCTTGATTCATTTATCACATTACATCTACATATATTTATACAAATATTTTATTCAGTCATCATCCTGAAGAAGAGACACATTTAGTCATATGTCCTAGTCATTGCTGTGTTATGATCCATCCATCCATCCATCCAACCATCCATCCCTCCATCGTCAACCGCTTCTGCACAGAAGCCAATCCAGTCCCAGCTGACATCGGGCGAAAGGCGGGGTACACCCTGGACAGGTCGCCAGTCCATCCTGTGTTATGATATAAATAATAATTAGAATCGACCCCTATTTGTCAGATGTTGCATCAGAACGACACTTGGTGTAACATTACATTACCATGACAGGAGCAGTGCAGAAATGACTTTTAACATGTTGGTGATAGAAAATCTATTTCAAGAGACTACTACTAACAGAAACTTGTTCCTCATGTTGATTGTACTAATATATTTGTGTGGGTACAAAAAGGAAACAGGATTTGCAGTGCTGTCTTGCTGCCGTATTGACAAAGTGCACTGGGATAAGCCGTCTCCAATGTACAGGGCACCTCTGTCTTAAATACTCCCAAACTATAGATATTCATAGTGAGGTTTTTTTTTAGCTGTAGCTTGTTCTTCGGGGGAATCTATGCTTTGACCATGCGCAGTACTTCATTGCAATGCGACGCACGTTATGCAAATTGACGTATTTCTGTAATCAATCAGCCTTAAGGGAGTAAAGAACACATAGGAGCTTTAAGTCACAACAATAGACCGACACATTCTGCTTGAACTAATACCACACAAACAATTATATGTTTTCATGTTTTTATTGAATACACTGAGTAAATAGTCACAGTGTAGGGTGGAAAAAGTATGGGAACCCCTAGGCTAATGACTTCTCCAAAAGCTAATTAGACTCAGGAGTCAGCCAACATGGAGTCCAATCAATGAGGCGAGATTGGAAGTGTTGATTAGAGCAGTCCTGCCCTATAAAAAACACACACCAATTTTAATTTTGCTATTCCCATGAAGCTTTGCTTGATGTGAACCATGCCTTGACCAAAAAGCTCTCACAAGACCGAAGATTAAGAATTGGTGACTTGGATGAATCTGGAAAGGGTTACAGAAGTATCTCTAAAAGTCTTGATGATCAGTCCACAGTAAGACAAACGGTCTATAAATTAGAAAAAGTTAAGCACTGTTGCTACTCTCCCCAGGAGTGGCCGTCCTGCAAAGATGACTGCACGAGCACAGAGCAGAATGCTCAATGAGGTTAAGAAGAATCCTAGAGTGTCACAGAAATCTCTGGAACATGCTAACATCTCTGTTGACGACTGTACAATACATAAAACTAAACAAGAATGGAGTTCATGGGAAGACACCATGGTGGAAGCCACTGCTGTCCAAAAAAACACTGCTGCAAGTCTGAATTTGCAAAAGAGCACCTGGATGTTCTACAACACTACAGGCAAAATATTCTGTGGATAGATGAAACTAAAGTTGAGTTGTTTGGAAGGAACAAAAACCCTATGTATGGAGGAGAAAGGCCCACCAACATCAAAACCTCATCCCGACAGTAAGATATGGTGGAGGGGGCATCATGACTTGGGGCTGCTTTGCTGCCTCAGGGCCAGGAAGGGTTGCTATCATCGACAGAAATATTTATTTCAAAGTTTATCAAGACAAATCAAGAGAATGAAAGGCCATCCGTCTGCCAGTTGAAACTCAACAGGAGATGGGTGATACATCAACGACAACGACCCAAAGCACAGAAGTAAATCAACAACAAAAGAATGGCTTCAGCAGAAGAACCGACTAATTTAACAGTTTTGGATTTTATTGTTTTTTTATGTTCAAACTGAAAATTGTATTCACTATAATTCCATAAAATTGAATCTAATAGTATGAAATCAAATAGAACTCATATTGCTTTCAACTTGTGAGTATTATTTCAGTTTCGGGTTCCAAATTCAGTTTTGACATTCAGTTTAAACTCTGAGGCACTCATCCAGAGGCACTCTAGACTAGAATTGAAGAGCTCCAATTCAATCCAACTCTCTTCAAAGGACTTCTTCGGACCGCAAGGCTTTCTGGGTATGTAGGCTATGAGGTTAGCTGTGTAGTCTCTTGTGGGCCGCCACAAATAAATCAGTGTTAGAAACACACATACAGTTTAATGCCCATCAACTTAAAAGGCTCAGTAGAGGAATAAACAACATTTCACATGCAGTCTGTAACCATGAAAAGCACTTCCATGTGCATCATTACAGCTACATTGAATTACAGAATGGTCACTGTAATTCACCAACATGCTTTCAGGTCTTGACAGAATTAAAGCTTTGTTTTTGTCAAACTGCTTTAATTGTGAACCTTTCCTGGAAACCTTGCATAGTCATAACTAAATCAAACAAAACTAAATGTCGAAAGCTCTATAACCACCCCTAGGTGCTGCCCATCTCATTATACCCCAAACTGTTGGACCAAACAAACTACATACTGATGATTTTGCTGTTCTCAGAGCATTATTACTAAGTAAACATGTGAAGATAGCCGGTCAAGGAACAACCAAATTAAAGAGGGTTTTTTCTTTTGGGACTATGACTATGTTCAATAAATGTCATGGCACTATTATAATATGCAACATGTTGTGTATGAATGGTAATCAAGCCACAAAATCAACTGGGTGTACTGACAACTGATGGTATGATAGTAAATCCCATGTAGTGACCAGAATGGAAAGTGTTCATCCTCCAATCAGTTACAGTTTTAATGGAACCTTGTGGTAGGGTTAAGCAACTATGGGTTAAGTGTCTTGCTCAGGGACACAATGGTGGATGGGTCACAGTGGGGAGTTGAACCCAGGTCTCTCACACCAAAGGCATGTGTCTTATCCATTGCGCCATCACCACCCTACCATGTTGCACTATATAGTTTAAACCTTGACCTGTGTGTTTGACTGGACTATTTCCTGTTCAAGTTCACACGTTGTCTTAACTGGAGAAATGACAAAATAATGTCAGTAATGATTACCTTAAAACTTCAATTAATAGCCGAGTCCCCAAATAGCCACCTAGCCTGTTTACTGGCCTGGTGTGGGAACACATTTTGACAAATAAACACAGGTCTCGATTAGAGGTCCTGTTTTTATATAGCTTCCATGGATGTATAAAACCTCTTAAACCCAACTGGGTCGCCCGCTTAAGCTGCTTCTAAACTGCTTAGATCGTTAATCCAAATATTAATGTTTAAACGTATGATCAATATGTCAGTATGCACATGCTACACATCGTTAGATCAGTTAGATTCTCCACAATTCAATCGTTCAATTAATGAAACAACGAGCCCAGAAGTCTAATTCTTATAGATTTACCGGTGTAACCTGCATGGTACAAGAGATGGGGGAAAAATAAGTGCCGACTCCTGTTACGTTTGAATCGCTCCTTAAGTTCGAATGTGTCCGTTCCTTGATGATTAAATTCCTAAAGGGTCCACCGATCAAAAGAGTCAAAACATCTTTTTATAAAAATAATTCCAAGTTGTGAAACCTGTTATGTGAAGTCCACCACTCTCTGTCTGCTAACCTCTGCCACACTGCTCTCATCCTGCACCCTGTTGTTGCTTTCATTACATTGCTGCCTTCAAAATAAAAGTGCATAAGCCGTCTGTCGGAGCTAGATGAATTGAATGATGTGTATTTGATATTATTGGATAATTTTTATACAAGTAATATTCTGTTTGAAATAAATAAACTGTGTGTCTAAACGTAATATTTCAACAACACTGACATTAAATCTGTGTCTCCTTTTCCTCATAGTCATCCTGTACAGTTCCAGCTCAACCCACCTACACAATGCACCCTACAGCTTTACCTACCGCAGCGCCAATAGCAGGGACCTCAGCAGTGGAAGCTGCTTCGACTCTCCCGGATCTCCTCGGGGACATCCCTTTCACTTTGGCTCCTCATGTCCTGGCCATGCAGACAGGGTTTCCCCTGATTCCTGATGTGCTGCTCTCCCGGGACATAAACTACAACCTGTCTAGCTTTCAGTATGACTTCACTTTAGAGAACTCTGTGCTTCATAATGCCTAGTCTGCCTAGTCTGTTTAAATTTTAATATCAGGACTGTCATCAGGAGTTCACACTGTGGGAAACTTGGTTTATTGTTGGTCATGTGAGAGCTTCCAGCAAATGCGATTCTGTAGAATTATGAACAAGTAAAAGCTCCCACACAATAAGTCGTAGTGTTAAAACTGTAAAGGGTTGAATTTCTGTTATTAGTTTCTTCTCTGTTTACTACTTTCAATGTAGATGCATTGAAACTAAATGAATGTAGCCAAAGCATTGCAACAGCAGTCAAGGATAAATATAGCTAAAGGTCGAGTTTGGGTCTCAAATTTGGCAGTACCAGTCAGGTGCTAAAGACCTGGAAATGAGTCAGGTTCAGGTCTCAGTTTTAGGTGTACTGACTGCGTGTGCTTCTTGCCCCATCAGACTGTAAAGGCCAATTTATACTTTTATAAAGCCGACAGTGGAGGCATACTAGGTCTGTTAGGACTTGACTTAGAAACCGGTGGGTTGCTGGATCGAGTCCAGCACGACCAATGCCGAAGAATGCAGAGAACAAATATCCCCTTCCAAAAGAATTTCCCCTCGGGGATCAACAAAGTATTTCTGATTCTCATTCCGAGCCAACCAATCAGAGTCCTTGCGGTCTGCGTCATCACAACGTGTAGTTACGTTTTGGGGGGAGATGCTTGTTAGGCTGCAGCGTACCTGGTGTAGATTCAGCACAGAAGTATAAATTGGCCTTAAAGCCTCTATTTTGCCACATCTCAGCAACTAGTCTTATATACAGTCATTTAATGACAGATTCAAATGGTAGCCAAAACTACAGATAAAAGACCTGGGTTGTACTGAATTAGAACAATTCTTTAAGGGAAGGTTGATATTGTAACCTTCACTTTCATTGCATCGTCCTTATCTGTTGTTTGTGACAGCGTGCCATTTCAAATGGTATAAAAGAGACTTTTTTTCAGGTCATTTGAGGGTGTGGCACCCACATGATGAAGCAATAACTTCAATCGAAGTCGTTAATGCAGAAACGGCTGGCCAAGAAGTTGCCTACCACTACATGGAGTTAAGCCCAAGTCTACAGTAGGATCATTGGATGGATAGTACTAATTCAAATGACTTTTGAGTCATCTATTTATGTACAAATTGCAACATGTGGAGATTGTTTATTTTTACCGACTCCAGCACTTAATGTAATAATTTAATATTAGGCAATTTATATATTTGACATTATATGTAGCAAAAACACTTCCTGCCACAGTTAATGCTTTGACTATTTTACAGCTGTTATTCCCTACCACTTGTCACCATGTTTGACTTTTGCTCCCTGAATGTAGCCTCCCTTTTGACCAGCATTATGTTTCTGCCAGCGTTAGTTACTGTGTTGTTTATTCTGGCTGCATTTTCCACTGACTTTGCTTTTCGTTGTTTATGGCACACCTTTTTTTTGTTATGATGCAGTCAAATGTACATGCCATTAATTATCACTTGGGTTGGTCTGCTGCGCTGACATACTGTAAATTACATTACATTTCTTCATTTAGCTGACGCTTTTATCCAAAGCGACTTACAATTGCTGTACATGTCAGAGGTCGCATGCCTCTGGAGCAACTAGGGGTTAAGTGTCTTGCTCAGGGACACATGGTGGATGGGTCACAGTAGGAAGTTGAACCCGGGTCTCTCACCCCAAAGGCATCTGTCTTATCCATTGCACAGTCACCACCCCAAAAATTCCCATTCATGGACAGCATAGACAAGGCGACTAGTACTAAGTAGTATCTCTGCTGAAATATGGCAGAATATGCTGGTGAGGACGAGTTAGCCTCAAAAATGCAGGACTACAGAAAGTGTAACAAGCCTGTCAATATTTAAATGTGTATTGAAACAAAATACTTTTCTTAGCCAAAGTCTAAGCCCAGGAGTCTATTTATGTACCGAAACTTGTACTTTTAGATATTTGTGGCCATAAAATCTTTCGCAAACGTTTTACGGACAAATACTTTTATCTAACGGCAGAGCAGACAAACACGCAGGTAGTGGGTTAGCAAGCTGTTACTGCTGCTGCAAAGCTGACCAGTGGAGATCAGCTGTCACAAACAGCAAAAAATGACAACAAATGGACAAGACAGTACTGGCCTATTGTTTGTGTGAAACAGCAAAGCTAACGTCACTCACCTGTTGACAGAAGCAGAGCGTCGGCCTTCAAATCTCGGAGGTTTCTCCAGCACTGAGACACCTCAACGATGTTAACACGGGTCTTCGCCCTTGCCTGGTCATATGACTTGTTTCAATGTGTACCTTCAGACCTTTTCCTCTTTGGCTGTTTCTTGGCCATATCACCTTCAGGACAGTGCCTAGAGTCCCATAATGAGTCCAGCATGTTCAAATGTACCAGTGTGTACAACTTTCTCGCTCCCATTGCTCCCTGCATGAGCACGCTGATTGGCTGAAACAATGTTGTGGGGAAGGCCCGCACCGTTTACAGAGCCAGGGCTGTTTAGGGAATCTAGAGCACACACAAAACGGAGTGCTAGTGTACCGTGAGGAAACACAGAATTTAACAATAAGTATCGTGATTGATTACTCTTCCCTTTAACAGCCAGGAGAGAGAGGGGTATGACATGCAACATGTTTTTACACAGGTTTTGTTAGAGCCACGACCTCTATTTGTTTATGTTGATTATTATTTGTACACTATCATTTAGTCGCTTCAACCTGCTGTGCCTTTAATATACCTCTTACTTTAATAAACCTTTCAAACTGTATTTTAGAAGCAAACCCTTCTATCGGTTAACTCCCACTAAAATCTTCCTCTTAAACCATCTTATTCCCTGAGTTAAGGTACATATATACTGTATGTTGATGCTGGTATGGTGTTCAGTTGGTTGAGACTGTGACTGCAACTCATTTTCCAAATAAAGTTGAAGAGCTTTTTCTAGGCTACATGTGAGGGAAATGTTTTGTCATTGTTAATGATCATATTAAATCATTTTGTTACATTATTAGGATTGGTAACTAGAAGTAACACAGCCAAGTTGGTAAGAATACATTTCCTAGGTTAACTTTATGTTAAAACAATATCTTTTGCATTGCTGCGGTGTGTTTTTGAGTCAGGTGACTTGGACTGAAGTCAGCCTCGTCATGAATCTCATGACTTTAGGTTTCTTTACCCTACGGCAAGACAATAGACATAGCAGGAATACCAAGCAAAGGCATTGGATCAGTTTTCCATTAAATGTTTATTTGAAAGCAAGTTGATTTTTAAAACCCTTCATTACTTTTGTAATTTTCTTAAATGTGGTAAGGGGTGCAGAGATTAGGACTTGGACTTGACCTGGGACGTGCCCTTTTTTTGTGACTTGATAGTCCTTATGTGAGATTTGTTCTTGCCTTGGGACTTTTATTTATTTTATTTTATAAGCCTTGACACCTGTTACTTACAAAACAATGTCTTTACATCTGCAATGTAGCCTCTCTTGTTTTTTTCTTTTAATCAGAATGAATAAGGAAGAGAAAATTATTTCCGGCAGCATTACAGGATCATGTTTGGATCTGTCAATTCTGACACACCACTGAATCACACAGTTTCACTTTGGTTCTTGGGAATGTTCACTGAAAATTGACAACCTAGATGACAGGCTGTGAAACTCCCAATTTTCCGCTGTTTATCTTTGTAAAAAAAAAAAGTGTGTGTGTGTACAATCAGAGGGAGCTTTATTGCCAAGTAGTGTTTTACACATCCAAGGAATTTGCTTTGGTGTTAAGGTGCTACACACAGACAGACAAACAGCTGACATAAATAGATGTAGAAATATGAAATAAACAAATGCAAGTTATATAAGAAGAACAGAAAAAGATAATACAACTGACAATATTTTTGAGTAAAGGTTCATAGAAAGTTGTGTTTATGCCCTACTATAAAACGAGACAAAAGGTCAGTCTTCTGTACACTTCATACCTTGTTCTATGCTAATTCACTGCACATCAAGGGTATACACAATATACAAATACCTAATGACCCCCATGCAGTGGTCATCAACCAATAGCAGACATTACTTACATTGGTTAACGGTAAAGCTTCCATACATCCAACGAACAACCCATGCGCATATCCAGGAAGTAGTCGTGGTGGTCCCACCCACCCTCGGGCCAACCTCTTCTGTCAGTAAAGACAACAATGATCCGTTTGATCAAGTAACTCTGTAATAACGGCTCTGTGGGTGTGATGTTTGTGTCTGTACTCAGAACGCAGAAAAATAAGCGTAAAAATTTGCAATTGTCGTCGCTAGAATCGCATAAATGTGAGTTAAATTGAAGAGTGGTTGGGACTGGACGTCGTGAATTAACTTCAGAAACTTTGGTAGCTGGCAAAGTTTAAAATGGATAGCCCGTGGTGCGTGTGCTGAAAAACTAACCCATAAAGTTATGGTGTGAGCGATTTAACAGGACATTGTACGTTTACCACTCATAGTGTTGAGAAAAAGTTTCATTAACTGAACGTGGCTGCTGATAATGTCAGCATCAACAGCTGCAGCCAGAGCATCCCAGCAGCGCGTCAAGCACAGCGGCTCCCCAACAGCCGCCTGCCCCTCCTGTAGCAACACCACGGTCCGGTTGCAGCCTATCCGCGCCACGGTGCCGTACCAGCTTTTGCGTGGAAATCAGCACAGCCCAACCCGCTCCGCTTCCTCCTCCTTCTCAGTAGCCGGGAGCAACACAGGACCGACGACGTCCCGTTGCTCCAGTCCCGCCAACCCGGGTGGAAGCGGCTCGGACGGCAGGCTGGTCCCCAGGCAGAGACTCTCACCGCCGGACAGCAGGAGCTCGCCAGAACGATCTCCCCATTCGCCTGTTTCCAAAGGTAATTGTGTCCTTTACAGTAAACGAAGTTATCTTTAACGCACACATTGGCGTTCAGATAGCTTGGTGCTAACTGATGCTAAGTGTCGTTCTGCCTGGGATGGAGCGACCGTCACGCCAAACTACCTTCAAAAATCTGACAACTGAATGGTTTCGGCGACGAATGAACACGATACGTGCATTTAAAAATGAGAACAAATAATTTTTCCTAACCGCTAAACGCTACTCTTGTGTTCGGCGTGTGTACGGTCCACAATCCAACATTAAACTTAAATATAATCTTAACTTTAATAATTGTCCCCACCATTCGCCATCAGGCGCCACGTTGTGTTTTGGTGAGAGAAGCTATTGGAAATGATAGGCGAAGCAGCTCAAAATTTTACATTTTAATTCAGATGAAGACTGTTTTGTAAATTACATATAGACCGAATTGTAAAGCGGGCTGTCATTCGGACACAGGTGGTGACATTTTGTTAAAGCCTATGTAACTTTACCAGTAAGTCAGCGCACCTTAAAATGTCAAGTTTTTTATAGCATATTTCAATGTAGCGAGCCGTTCTCTGTAACTACGAATGAACTAACGTTACCCTTTTCGGTGCGAGAGGCTAGGCTAGTTGGCTAGCTTTCTAATTGGGTCATAATACGTTAGAGACCCGATGTTTAACGCTAACAGCATCTAACTTGGAGTGATATATATCTTTAATAGCTGTATTTCCACAGTAGGTCCCACTACCATGATACAATATCTATCACAATATCAGTAATAACGTTAGTATTTTAGCACAACATAGCTTTGCCTGTTTTGGTGTAACGTTATTATTCTAGTGTGCTAGAATGGCGATTTAATTGGAGTAATTTGATATTAGCTAATGCAGTTGTTATTACATTACAGTGGCATTATCTTTGCAATGATGAGGTAAACATGTCAGTATATATATGCTAGTGTAGTGATGATGCAGCTACTCTGTCGAAGATAAGCAGGGCTCACTGATCTACACCAGAGGGACGATAAGACAGATTTTCAGAATCGGCTGTGAACACTGACAGCTTATTATTAATTCGTTACAGTGAGGTTGTTTACCATCAATGAAACGGAAAAAATGATGGCGTCAGCTGGTAGGTCTATGGCTCCTATGGCAACATTGGGGCCTAGCAGTCTGAGACATAAACAGAGCCCTCTGGGCAAGCAGGCCAGCGTCTGTAACTACATGCACATAAAAATACTATTAGGCAAACATGAACAAACTTGAATATATATCTGTCTACAATGAGGAATACAATGTCCTTACAAATACACTAAAATATCTCTGTGTTTTTGAAATCCAGCTTGTGTCATGGCTACAACATGGTCACTGCATATTTTAGTGAAGAGCTGCTAACTCTAATGTTTTACGTAGGTTCAGGGTTATGCTATTACAGGCTATGAAATACACTTGACTTAGCATCTTTCCACTCTTAGATATCATAGCTGGTGGGAGTGGCGTGTACAGGGCATTTTGATCGGGGTGGCCAAAGGTAGGCAAGCCAGGGTGGCACTGAGCATGTTTTGGACCCCCGCCAGCAACAAATAAACATGCACAGAGATAGCTAACTTTCATTTTGATGGCCCTTTGCCCACAGCCTGACATTATGTAACATGTAGATGCCTATGAAGATAGATACACTGGCATTGCTTCTGCGTTTTATTGTCATGTTCATGCTACAATGGAAATTTCAGACTATTTAGGTCATAAGTAACTTCACATATGTTAAACATGTTTCAGTCTGTACAACATTTAAAGCTGCAATAATCAGTATTTTTTATATTTATAACTGATCAAATGACTATGTGTAATGTGAAAGGTGTCCCTCATAGTGATGAACCCACAGAGAATTATTATCATCAATGCTGCAGTTCCTCTCAGCTCTTTGGAGCATTTTTGCATCTTTTCACTATTATCTTTTGTGATAAACCCACTGTACACTACCAGCACAATCCCAAAAAGCAGACAGACAAAGTTAGTGACCATCTGGTGAACACAGGGAAGCATTTAGCAGCTAAAGAACCAGAAATTTGAAGGAGAGTTAATATTGGGGTTGGGTATCGTTTCAATTTTAGCGATTCTGATTCCCATTCTACTCATCGAATCCGGTTCTTATGAAATCTTGGATCTGATTCCAACCCCATCACTACAAATCTTGTCAGCGCTCTGTGACCTTCATCCACTTCCTCCTTGCTCATCTTCCCCTTCATGGCTGAAGTGAAAGGAGTCTCTGTACTAGAGGGGCGTCTCTGGGGACTTGTCTCTAAGAAAAAAAAAAAATTGAATTGTTTGTAGACATCATTGGTTTCCCTTCAGTATAAAAGGTGAATGTCAGCTCACCTGTGTTTTGTGACTGTTAGTGTTAGCTGTATCTGGGGCGTCATTGTAGCTGGGAGAGCGCGACACATTGGACACGGTGCGTTCCTTCACATTCACGCCGTGTTGAAGTAAACGCTCGTCATGTTGGAGCTGCTTCCTCCCTCGCACCAAACCTCCTTATTGCAGGTGTTGCATTTTGCTGTGTGGTCCTCTTTCTTTCCTGCGGTTCGCCATGGTCCGGGAATGGAAACAGAAGGACTCTCTTCTTCATGCTTTGTTGACGTACTGCGTAACAAATGATGTGACGTTAGGTCAGGTAGCAGGTCCGGGCAGATAAGGGACACTTTTATGTACTGAAATATACAGAAAGTTAGGAACCAATAAGGAGACCCGTAATGCACATTTCTTAACGAATCCACCGTTCTTGGAAATTTGATAACAGTTCCAACCTGGAACAGGCTCTCGAGACCCAACCATAGTTTGCTAACATGTTAGCTCAAACAACTTTATAAGGTGGTAATATGTCAGCAAATGTTGTTACAGCTTCATTTTCTGCCTTCAAGTGGCTAAAAAGTCAGACTTTGATCAAAAAACTCTTCACACCAATACACACAACATTGTCTTTTCAACTTACACAGGAGCTGAACTTATTTACGATTCTGGCCACGAAATGTAAACACAGTATAAATGATTTACAATGAATATGTAGATCAGATACAGGATGTAAGGCACTAAGGGAAACTGTGACGGAAAGCTATTGAAGAGTGTATGCAAGTTTTCACTCCAGCCAAAGACCATAGCAGTTGATTGTGATTTCACTAATTAGCACTCCTACAGCTAAAGAGGAACTAATCAGGCAAAGTAGCTGCTGTAGTGTTGCTTGGGGTAATGGCTTGCATTCACTTGGCCTTTTTCCCAAAGTCAAACTGTCACCCGATTGATCTGAAGCTGAAACACACATCATAGAATCATTGCCCTTTTTTTTACTGTGATTTCAGTATCTTCAGTGTCTATTAAGGTTGAACATGTATAAATCATATCAAAAACACAGTTCTTGTTACAAAGTTCCTCCAAACAGACCCATCCTCACAATCTTCACTTTTAGATGTTTTTTTTGGAAGTAGAAATCAGTTTGACACAGAAAATGATTCTTTGTGTGATGGGGGAGGCCCTGCCTACCCTAAATGTAAAACTGAATACTGATATTTTTATATAAAGCAACAGTTAGAGATTAGTGAAAGACCGATTAATGGGTGGACCCATAGCTGCACTTACATCTTCCTAAAATCTAATCTTAAATCATTACTGGCTAGCGTTAAATATATATTGTATTGAATAATATGAATCTAAACAACATTTCTTTGTTTTAATATATTCATTATATATCGGCCATTGAAAAACCCACATCGGTTGACCACTAGTATAGATAGTAGCTTAATGTTACAAACGTACAAAACAGACACTGTGTTGTAGCATTCTATTTTACTCCAATTTAAACTAAGGAAGAATTTAAATGTTAACCACCTTTGCTCAGCTCCTGCAAAGCCCTGTTCACACCAGAAAGTGGAACAGAGAAATGAATCCACGCCTCTTAATACAATAGGCTGCGCTAGAAGCTTGGTGACATAGTGAATGCTCATAGAGCTAGTGAGCGAACTACTGTAGCCGGCAAGCTAACATATTAGGGCCAATTTATACTTCTGCAACGAGTCTACGACATCATGAGCATTTATACTTGTGCGTTAGTGTCTGCATCGTTCTGCAAGTACACCGCCAAAACACTAGTTGTCGGTGGGGTTTCTGTTGAGTTTCTTCTTCTTTGTTGGTGTAGGCTACTACAAATAATGGCCACTGAAACTGAGCGGATCATGTTGGATTTAGAACTGATCGATGTTGAACAGCAGTTACTTTTAGTGAAATTACTAAAACGCAGAAACATTGCTGTTTTGCTGTTTTGAATGCTATGACCAGCCTTCATCTTGGCTAACGCTAGCTTTATGTGTTCCACTGTCATAACCGAGGAGGAAGAAAGAAGATTTTTGTGCTTTAACTCAGCCCACCTTACCTACCTTACCACCTAAACCTCTCACTGCAATTTATTCTGTAGGGGTTAGAAAATAAGAGAAAGACAGTGTGACATATTCTGTACATGAGATGCAAAACCTGTATAATGGTCCTTTTAAGTAGAACCTTCTGAATAATGGATGAGTCCCTGGTGGGAGTGTCTCTCTGCGGTTTGAGATGGTCTGACGATGGTCTGATGATCTGACTCAAAGTCATGCTGAACGCCCTTGTCCCACAAAGGTTTTCAGAATCAGCCAAAGGTAAGAATGAACTCATAGAGTCCTGACAGGCTCTGAGCAATTCTGACTAACACAAATCTTACATACTGTGCTTGACCTTTGGCTCTACTGGTATCGTAAACGTATCATTACTAGATTTGCCTCCACGCCCACCAATGGTGGAAGAAGTACTCAGATCTTTTACTTTGTAGTAATACCATATATAGAAATACTCTGTTAAGCAAAAGTCCCGCATGAAATTACAAAAGTATTAGCATCAAATATACTTAAAGTACCAAAAGTACTACTAAGAAGAATAATAGATATCACAGGATTATAATTAGTGATGATCACCTTAATGTTACAGCTGGTAAAGA